TACCGCTAATTCTAGCGGTTAGATAAACCTAATATAAAGTATTTCTCTAATTATCACAAGCTATTAAAAGTTGATAAATTGTTAAGCGACATTATCTAACATAGTCTAACTGCTATTTAAACAGAGATATAAATTTTTTTTTCTATATATATAATCTACTCTATGGTTTTAAATTTCGGTACATGTCAAACGTTGTTAAATTTATCCGCGACTATCAATCAACAGTGGGACACTAATTGCAATTTGTGGCAGCACACGATGCCTTACACTGCCGGCGCTTACACTGCGCTACACAGCGTGTGTTTGCATTTCGTGGCACGCTTTCGGCGCGCTGCAGGACTTTGATGGATTTGGCAGGCGTAATGCGCGTTTGCCAAATAAACCCGAAAACTACATCGACTCACGAGTTCGAGACAGTTTTACAGCCAGTCAATTTCCAGGTAATTCAATTGTAGGTGCGCATATATCAATGTGTGCGTGTGTGCGTCTGTGTGTGTTTGCACAGTTCGTTGAAATACTCATTCAATATGCTGCACAGGTAACTGGCCGCAGGCCAGGCAAAAACGTTTTGAAATATTTATTCAAATGTTGTTAGCCGCTTCAAGGAGCCTGGGCATTAAACAAACAACTTTTGCCAAAAAGGCTTATTACAGGTCGCATTATTATTATTATAGCTGCCGTTGCTCTCGCTGCTGTTCTTTTGCCTCTTATATAACATCAATGTATGCAAATAGACCCATACGCTTTTGATCTCGCTCTTACCTAACCTCTACCTCACCTCTACCTCTACCATCCTATCGCCGTCTTCCTCACTCCACGCTCTGGTCAGGCATATTTCAAATCCCGCACGGTTGTTGCCGGCTTTCCATTTTGAGCCCCGTCAGGCAATTGCAGTTGAAATGTTTTAAGACTCCCGGCAACATGACGAGCTCTTCCTCTGGCTCAGAACCCATCAAATTTGGCTAAAAGGCAAAGTCGCTTTACGAGCTTTGCCTAGCTACGGGGGATGTAGCAACTATTTAGAAATGTGTGGCTCAAAATGCAGACGGCTTAAAGGTTTACAATATATAAAAGAACTTTTTTTAAATAACTAGTAAAGAAATGAAAATGGAAATCGAGCTCTGCATTGAATTTGTATAAACGAGGCGAGCATCCAGAAACTGGGCAAGTTATTTCTATGCCTATTAAAAAAGGTCTTCAGTTCATAGACAGTTTGTATAAGTAAGCATATGACAGTTAACAGAATGTTAAAGCACATTTCTGTTAATGAATATCTGTTATATTTGGATTATTACGTTTGTTAGCATTAAGCTTGCTGTTATTTACATATGTTAATTAACATAACCTTCCATGTAAACTATTTCGCAAATTTTTGTATAAAAATAGTTGTTTTTTTAAATCCTTTTCAGGCTCTCAATAATTTTCTTTAACTCCACCTTAAACACCGTTAAAGCACTTGATGCAAGCGGTTATTGTGAAAAATAAAAGTAATTTTGATTAAACGCATTTATAAATGCATATTTCAATTAATAAATGACTGCACGAGAAGCTCTGCTCTGCTCAGTTCAGCTCAGTTCAGTTCAGTTCAGTGAAGCACCAGAATCGGCATCAGCTTCAGCTTCGGCTTCATTTATGGTCTGGCATTTATTGAATGCATTTAAAATACTGGGACTGCCATGCTCGTGGCCATGCAGAAAGTCAATATTATTACGGTCAGTGCGAGACACAAAAGGCGTGCGCCGTCGGTGTCAGCCGCAAAAATGTGGCGATAAAAAATGCTTTCAATTAATTAAACACCCAAAAAGCGACACAATAATAAAAACGCAATGCACCGTGAACAGAGTAAAGAGAATGACCAACCCGACCAGCTGAAACACACACACTGACATTTCAACCAGCCAACAACAACAACAACAATAGGATAACCTCCTGTGTCTGCCTCCTGTGGCATGTGCGGCATGCAGCTCATTAATAATACAGATAATGTGTTTGGCAATCATTTCGGGGCTGAATGCCACAAATGCTGCTGTGATTAACACATTGAACTGAGCGGCAGCCAAGCAGCTGGCAGACAAGCGTAGCTGCTTAACAGCTGTTGTTAAACTGCATGTTAAAACTAAGGCAAACATAAATAACTAAAGCCTTGAATTGTTGAGATTCCAGAAAGAATTATTGAGAGTTTATTATTCAATGGGAAGTATCTCTTGAGCTGATTGTTGAATGATACGAAATATCAATTGTAATG